TGCTCATATAGTGTGGATCGGTTTACCTCTAGCATTACGATTAATAAAAATTCCATTCACGGCGATGTCAATATGGTCGCCCCGGGCGGTGTTCGTATTGGAACTCCTGCATTAACATCGCGAAGTTTCAAGGAAGAAGATTTTCTCAAGGTTGCCGAATTCCTACATCGTGCAGTCCAAATCGCTCTTAGGGTGCAGGTTCGTTTCGTGTCTTAGCCATTGTTGTCATTGATCATATTTTCCCAAGATAAATCTATTGAATGGTTAAATTAAATATATAAATTATTATTAATCCACATTGTCACCGGTAATCAAAAGGAAAAGGCTGGTAGTAAGATGATGAAAGACTTTGTAATGGCATGCCAGGATGTTGAAGAAATTTCAACTCTAAAAAATGAAGTAGAAGTTTTCGCCACCGGATTCCCTATGCCAGGTACAGAACAATTTGATTCAATTCATATCATTTAAACGGTTCGAATAGTTGTTTATGTTTATTATTTATTCCTTTGTTAGGTTTTGACCCTAGTAATCTTACACCCACAGAGGCTTGAATGACCGGTGTACAATCAATAGCGCATTAATCATGATTCGTTCAAACATTGAAAAATATAATAGAATAGATCAAAAAAAAAAAAAAAAAACAATAATTTTTTTTTCCTAACCCATACAAATAATATGTTGCATATGCTCTGGCATAACCTTATCATAATAATGAATTAACACGTTTCCGTGTTAATGTCTAATTTACTGAAAGAAATAATAATCACCTATTACCTGGAAACCATTGGTCATCCTATTTAACGATTTCCACCCCACAATCTTTTCCAAAATGAAGGGGGTTTTGATTTTTCTTCTTGCTTTTGTTTGGCGGCCTTATCTATGGCAGCAACTAAACCATAGTAATATTTTGGATTTGCCGCTGGTCGATATATCCGATCAGAAAGCGGATACTGAAAGAAATGGTTTAACCGAGTTGGTCGAAAGTCAACTAAAAACGTCTCGTGCAGGCTAAAAATGAAAACGAAAAAGAAACAACCTTCTCTTTGTATTCATTATATGCCAGCTTCCTTAGTGCGTCTAGTTCGATGTTTGCTTCCAGAATCAAGGAGTTATAAACGTCTGCGTCCTTAATGACCAAGTTCTGTCTAAAACCTTCGACGACACGTAAATGAAGCACGTGTCTCATATCTGTGTTTGGTCTTAAATAATCGGTCGGCCAACGTTCGATCACGCGGAGAAAGGAACGATAAAGCGACAGGACCTCTGAACGCGTTGAAGCTGACATTTCTTTGCGGCACGGGAAATTGGCGATAGATAGTAGTAGTATGGTGTTAATAGATAATCTTTGTCGTCCCTAGCAAAATTTAATTGGTCAGTCTAGGTAATTGATCGGCCATCAATTGTATATAAATTACGCTTTTTTTTTTTGTTTCCGTTTTGAGCTTTGTGCCAAATAGTAGTTATTAAGTAGTCCTTGGAAATATGAGTAGCAGTGAATTCGACGAGCCGAATAAACATAGGCAGAAAGACAAAGGCGGCTGGGGTGAACCGCCTTCACAACCAACTGAATATTGGCCTGATTCGGAGGGCACTAAGGACGCAGGTGATGTAAACGACGAAGGCTGGGATACGCCTCATACAGAAAATAGGAGTTGGGACGCACCGTCACCAAAAAATGAAGAATCCACTTCTAACTGGGATTCCCCAGATATGCGAAACGAAAATAACGGCGGCCGGGAAACACAAAATAAGAAAAATTCGGTTGAATCGGGTGGTCGCAGTGCACAAACTTCGCACCCTAAGAAAAATAATGGAAAAGATGGCTCGGGTACATGAAATTTTAAATATTGAATTCTATGTTACGCCACTCAGAACTATTATCAATTGACATACTAAAAATTTGTGGTTTAACACATCAGCTTCTTTCAAGAGCAGGCAGGGAGAGAGAACGGATCGGTTGGAAGATAAATCCATTCAAACCGAAAGCTGGGGAGTAGAGAATTCCAAAAAAACCCCGCCAAAAGGGAATTGGAAGGACAAACAACCTTCGAGAAGAGATTGGAATGAGGACTCCTCTTTTTCCGAGTCAAAAAGTCCTCGTGGAAGAGGCAGAGGAGGTTTTCCATTTTCTCGCAATGGCCGAGATAATTTCAAGCGTGATTCCAGAGATTCTCGCGGTCACAACCAACGGGCCTCTCTTTCACGCGGCGATGGTAATTAGTTAACACGCTACATGGTAGTGGATTCTGAATTTATAATTAACTTTACCATTACAATACTTGATAGAGCATCGCGAGAAAACTAACGATGAGTATACGGAAGAATCCGGTTCGAATAAAGCTAGCAGCTTAAGCGAAAATAATCGCTCATCAAAATCAGACGCACCTTATGTGAATAAGGATCGCGTACTGTCCGGAGGCAAAGCTTATCAGGTTTGTCCCTTAAGATGTCACTAAAACCCCATTTCCGTTAATGAGCGACGTGTTCTGAAAACGATTCATTCCAATTTTTAAAATAGAGAGTGCGTGAAGACGAACTCTCCGAACGCATGGAACGAATACGCCTCCAAAATGAAAAATTGGTGGAAAAAAGAAAGGTTTTACTTTTATTATACGCATATATACATCTATTTATGTGATGGAATTATTAATTATAGATATTTTGCGTTTTTACTAACTTCTATCGTTCAAGGTGGTGGAGCAAGATGAGGAAGCATTCCGCAAAGAAGAGGAAGAAATTCGGAAAAAAGAATTGGAGAATCTCGAGATTCAAAAAAAGAAGCAACAAGAAGATGAAGAAGAACGAAAAAGACGCGAAAATCAGCAAAAGCAATTGCAAGAACAAATTGAGTAAAAATTGTTCATATATCTATGTTGTTAATTTACCTTGTTTGGAGTCGACGATCCTTACTATTTTCTCATTCTTCAAGTAATGAACGGGAGGAGAATGCAAGGCTTAAAATAAAAAATCGAAACACACGGGAGTGGGATAAAGAAAAAGAAGACGGAAATTGGACTGGGCGTCAAAATCAGAAGGAGAATTGGAATCTTAATCATGGTAATTCCAACGATCACGAAGTTGATCGAAGAAGTTCTCGCAGCGAGGACAGTAATTATGATCGGAGAAATTCCCGTCACGAAAATAACGACTATGAAGATTACTGGAGAAAAAACTCTCGTGGTAATAACGTTGATTACGGCCGAAGGAACTCCAGGGGCGGTAATAATGAATTTGTGTATAGAAGTCCTCGTGGTGGTGGATTTGGACCGAGAAATAGCCGGGGTGACGAAAGTGGATATAATTCAAGGAACTACCGTGGGGGTAGGGATAGTGATTTTAATTCGAAAAACTATCACACACGAGCTAGGGGAGGTCGTGGAAGAGGTGGCGATGATCGCCGGGGTGGATTCGGTGGAGGAAACCCACGTGGAACTGGCGGACGATACAACAATGATCAAAGTCGGGACTCATATAATGAATGGGATCAACCAACGGAAGATGCTTCTGATTGGAGCGAAACCAAAAATCAGACAAAATCAGATAAAACTGGTATATTGCAAATCGCATTATGTAAAATTGAAATTTGAAAGATTGTTAATTTTTTTTTTCTCTAATGTTAAGACTCTGAAGGTTGGAGCTGAAGGTAAGTTGGAATCATAATCAATAATTCTTGTTCACATAATCCGTAGAAGACGACATTAGTAATACATGGTCTACTTAAAGTTTCGAGCAATGGTGGTGCCGGTTGGGACGACTGAATTTCTAAAAAAAAAAAAAAAAAAAAAAGTAAAATTTCAACCATGTTATTTGAATTAATAAATATTTAACACAAGTATAACTGACTTTCACATTCACCAAATAGCATAAGGAAAGCCGCCCTCTCAATATCCAATTAGCCACATGAAAATGATGTGGTGGCATTTTTGGGTATCATTTTGGTAAGTGACAAAATAAATTCCGTTATCGTTTCCATTTCCATTTCCATTTCAAAGCCATTATATATAATCTTAAACTTTTAATTAATTCAACGACAGCAAGCATTTATAGGTGATCCGGTGCAAAATGCGCAATCACCAAAACCGAAATTATTAAATCAGAAACTGGTAAATGTTTTTTTCTTTACGATGCACATTTTCTGGTTACTGCATGCAGTGCTTCTCAAAATTTCTGTGAACTTGTCTTTCCATGCAGTGCAGTGTTATATAAAATCAAACCGATCCATATTATAATCTCTTTAACGAGAAATATTTGCAATATAGGAGCATATTATATATTTTAAATCATTCGTTCTTATTATTAATGAAACTGAGGGGACATGCAAAAAGAAATTTTGTTTTTTTTTTTTCGGTTAAAGTGTTTTGCGTCAAATGCCTGCTGAGTTATACGATCAAAAAGAAGAAATATGATGTATTCAAATGGAACTGACGAGTTGACAGTTCAACCCGTTGACTAAGGGCTCTTCGTAAACCAATTGTGAGGAAATGCTTAAGAAAGTCTCAACAGAGGTAGCACACGCGAAGTGACAACAGTTGTTCGCAAGAAATGCGAAACAAGTTACGCACATAATTAAATTATTTATATCTCAGCAGCATTAAAAATTGCTCGCGTGCACTGTACACTCACGCGTCACGGGTCAGCTGACACCGGTGATATATAGTATGACAGTTATGGATGACCTAAACTCACTCTCGATTTAAAAGATTATTTGTGTAACATAGACATATATAAATCGACACATAAGAAAAATGGCAACTAGTAGGCCTTCGCGACATCACGGTTTCCGCTACGCGGCGGATCATGATCGACTAAAACGCGCTTTGCTACAGCCAGTTCAATCTTGGTTTGTTTTTTCATGAAACCAGATTTTCGGCATCATTTTGAGTTTATCAAAACTTACGTTAAAAGATGCAACACACATATACACACTATACAGGGATAAGAAATGGCAGTATCCCAACAACGGAGGGAAAAACTTTAAAATATTAAAATGGACAAAATGTAAGCTTTTGCAATCGCGTGAGCGGGAGAATTCATCAGATCATGCATGCGGTCACAATCTTATAATCTTATTGTAAAAATAATCCCAAATTGCTTTGTTTAGCCGATAGGAAACTAACGTTCAACGACGATGATGATGATGACGAGAGCGGCACCGTGAGGATGGCTCGACAAAATAATAATTTTGAGGTAAGACCGTATAGATGTTGTTGCCTTTGTTTGTAATCTTGCTATTTTCAATTCACGGAGTTATCGCAAACGCAATATAATTAGGACACGCCGACACCAACGGCGTCAATCATTCAACCTCCAACCGAAGCCTCCACTCCTCAACCTTCAGAAACGGAAACCGATTCAACTTTATTAAGGCCACACATAACGTCATTGCCAAAGTCATCATCGTTACTTCGTCAAGCCTCTCTTACTTCCGCGGTGTCAACTCCTAGAGATAATTTGAACACGAATAACAATAATACACCACTTGAGGTTGAATCGTCGGTCGCAAATTCACCGGAAATTGAGGAACTAGAGGAGGAAGAGGGAATGGAGGAGGTGGTGGTGTCTAAAGCGAAAGAGAAGCATGAAGATTTAGGATATGGCAAGCACAAGGATAATGATGACCTATTCAATCGACAGAGAAGTAGTTTCAGTGAGAGTAAAGAATACATCAACAAATCATCAAGTGGTTACGAAGATCAGGCTAACGAAGACCATGACGAAGAGTATGAAGATGAACAAAATGAAGATTATGATGATAATCGAATAGACGAAGATTACGATGAAAATATTGAAGATTATGATGGCGGTCAGAGCGATGACGAAGGTGATCAAAATGAAGAATATGGCAATCCAGTTCAAGATTACGCTGAGCAACTTAGCGAATATGAAGAAGATCCAAGTAGCGATTATGGTCGGACCAGCGAGTATGGTGGACAATCTAACTCGTACATCGGTAGAGCCAGCGATTATGATGACGGACAAGAGCAAAATGACACTTATGGTGAGGCACTGAGCGAATATGAAGAGCATAGTAGCGATTACGGCGAACAGCAAAGTGACAATGATGAACAAACGAATGAATTTGTCGGGCAATCTGAGGAGCCCACCGATCAATCTCATATCACTTATCACGACCAAGTGACAGCTTTCGTTGATCAAAACCTTACAGAAGCTAAGGAAGTTGAAGATGGAGAATACGAGAATTTGGATCAATTACATTGAGTTTACATTTCGATGGACAGCATTATATTTAAGCTATAGAACATTCACGAATGGTCACGAATGGTTTGACTCATTTCGATCCAGATTTCGAGTTAATTGCAGTAATTAATTTTTGGTCCAATTTCCATTATAAACGAAATAAATTTATGAATAGGGTAAATCACCAAATTGTCCTAATATTTATGTTACACCTTTTTTTGTTTTTCTTTTACCAAAGATACCGTTATATAGTGTAAGAAGATGAAGTTTTGTGTTTATATCCACAATACGAAAAAAGTCTTTTTTCTACCGTCTAAAACAATAATTTAACAGCAATCATCCCAAACGCTTTCATCGTAATTCCTCCTGTTGCTTTCTACAATGATTTTATGGATCAAATGATTTTCTTCGTCATTATCCTCCGGATCACCAACATCATGCCAGTAAAGTAGCAATTGTGATTCCTTATCCCATTTCCATTTCCCACTACTATGATATATGTTGAAATCGTCAGCCTCGCTAAAGTGATATATTGGTAAATATATCTCTGTCGGCGAGTCGGCTGATGGATTTTCGGGATTTTTGAACACGTATTCGAAATATTTTTTGTAAGGATTGAACTTTAAAGACAAGGGTTCCCCGTTGGTCTTAACCGGAAAAGGTCGAAGTAAAGATTCCAATGCTCTACCTCCCACATCCAATCCTTGAGTCGAACCGGATGACATCATTGAATGGACTTTTTCGTTGTTCGTATCTTGTGAATAAATGCTAAGATCTTCGCCGTTCCATTGGTCACCCCATTTGTGATTGTTATCGGGGCAATAATTCCACAAAGTAAAACTTAACAGATTAGCCTCGAGTGCTTGTATACTCGCTTCCATGGCTTTGATTTGTTGAGAATAGTCGCCGTCTCTGTACGCCTTTTTATTTTGCATGTCATAAGGAATGCCTATTTCTCCGATTATGCATGGAACATCGCCTACATTTAAAAAATAAAAAATAAAAAAATAAATAGAAAGAAGAAAACGATGTATTCTATGTCGCCTCATATTCGTCACATACCCAGTAATTCTTCCCCTTCATCTTTGATTAATTTGAGTTGCTCAACAAAGCTTCTCTTAATAGCTCGATCCCCAATTTTGAAAGCCGGAATGACTCCTTTGTATTTTCCGCGTTTGATTCCCAGAAAATCGATGGTCCACCAATTGAATTTTTTTTGTACCAACGTCATCCCATCATACCAATGAGGTGAATAAATAATACGCTCATTTAGCTCATCAAACTTATCGAAGCTGGGAGGCTTTTCCAATACAGGTGGTTGAACAAATATGATAGCGTTGGGGAAAACTGAACGGATGGTACGAGTATATCTTTCGATGAATGGCTTCAGGCATTCTTGATTCCAATCGGGTTCCTTTCCGGTATTTGGATTCGTGGCAAAGTAATCCGGGCGCAACAGTTCCTTGGTCTCTTTGTCCCAAACCCCATGACTGGCCCATATACATCCTTTCGGAAATTCCGAGCCTTTTTCCCACGAATATCCTTCGGGATCTTCCTTGAGCCAAGCTGTCTTACCTTTGGGATCAATTCTTTCCTTACCAACAACGCCAAATCCATACCAAACAATGTCCCATACTTCCAAAGTGCAAGGTACACCTTCTCCTAAAAGCATGGCCTGAAAAGGTGTGGGAATCCTTCCTCTTCGGTATTCCTGGAATTCAGGAATTTTGCTAAGGTCCTTGGTACCCACTAAGCCCCAACTTGGTTCATTAATTGTATCAAATCCGATCACCGTCGAATCGTGAAGTTGAGCTTCACAGATTTTCTCCGCCAACACTTTGTATGCGTTACAAAAATGTGATTGTAGATATTCTTGTATATTAACACCATCCACAATGCATTTCTTGGCATATAAACTGCCCGAGTAGAATAAAGTAAACATCGTAGCAGATACAAGCTTATAATAATTAGTTGACCAAACCATCTTTGGAAAATTTTCCAAGTCTTTATACGTATTATGAACAATCGCGGCGTCGGTAGCAGCAAAATTTCTCATATTAAAACCTACGAGGTCTAATGTCCATCCTGGTGCGCCTGAACCGCCGGAAAATCTTGACCACTGTTAGATGGTAAATAACGCGAAGTAGAAGATTAGATTCGGTGTGTAAATCAACTATGGTCGAAATGCAAGCGAGAGACGAAGAGTGTCTTACCACGTCCTGGTGTGGATCGATGAAACATCTGAAACCATATTCTCTGGCCTTGATCAGAATCTTTATGATGAAATCTATGAATTCCATATCATAAATACCACTGAAAAATTAAAAGATGGAAAACAATAACAAAAGTTAAGTTCGCGTTATACGAATCGCATGGAATGATCCAGGGAAGGCTAACCATTTTTCATAATTATTCATGAATTCCCATTAGAATTTAGAAGCAACTTGTGAGTGGACACTTACGGTCCTGAGTGTTCGAGCGCCTCCCAAGTCACAATGAATCTCAAAAAGTTAAAACCCCAATGTTTCAGACGAGCAAAATGTTGGTCAGCTTCGTTCAAATGAAAAGGTCGGCCAATAAAGTTGACGTTACGGTGATCGAAAAAACCTTCAAGTTGATGAGAGGGTATTGGAGGGCTAGCTGGGCTTTTAGAGGCACCCGACAAATTTATACCGCGAAAGAGGATTGTGCGATCCGAAGAATCTTTTATCCACTTGTTGCTAAACCTGAGTGTGTCATTCGAATCGAACACCATAGTGACAGACGAATCGTTTGAAACACTAGAGCTGAAGGTAGCATCTGTTTTTTCAGAACTCTCTGAAGAATCTTGTCTAAGAATTCTTGTCATATTCGAAAAACGAAGGAGCGCAAGTCTACTTCTCTGCAGTCTGAAACTTCTTATTAGCTCCAGAGCTATATATGTCTGTAGTCCGCCCGTCACCTGGTTACACTATTTAATGGATGTTTAAACCAAAAAAAACATTGATTAAACGTACAATAACGTACGTACGTAACGAAAAAAATGGTTGATTTCTCTACTATATTTTTTATAGCACCTCGGATATCTGCGTACCGTGTATTTGTAACACAAGGTCACGCGTGTAACTTTGTTTTTCGTAAACTAATTCAATTTAAAGTAAGAACATTCCTAAATCGTTAATAATAAACGTGATGATGGTGTTTTATTTAATAAATGATGGAAACCAATCGACGTGGCGTAATCCAAAAACGTCACAATACGCGCGACAAACGTAACGAACGAGTAATGATGATTTTATTTAAAGAAATTATCAATACGAAGTACTGACGATGAGAAACCAATCATATACAAAAAAAAAAAAATTATTTCTTAATTTTTTAATGTTATGATCAAAAATTAAAAATACCTTATATCAACAAACATTTAATAGATTTTTTATCTATATTATACTGTATGTGAGAAAGGTTTGCAAAGTAATATGGTTTATGATAAACATTCCTATTAGCGGATAAGAATGTCCAAAAAAAGTAGACATTGTGCTTTAATTAAAAACTTGCTGAAAAAAAAAAATATACCTGTTAAATTGTTAAATGACAGCTTATTACAGAATGTTCTGCAAATCCCCCATTATTATTATTACTATTAGCATAAATTTGGATCAGGGTTTTTTTATCTGGTTAGCAAACTTGTCCCTTCAAAATGATTAGTTACGCGTACTTCATAATAATCCTATCTGCACTTGCATATTATGCCGAAGGTATCAAATGGTCTTTTTGATGAATCCGATGTAATCACATTTTATTTACCTTTCGCAATTCAATAGCAATTTATCGTCCGGTCGTTCTTTGGCATGGAATGGGCGACTCCTGCTGTAACCCAGACAGCATGGGCAAGATACAGGAGTTAATCAATGACACTTTGCCGGGAACTTACACATACTCGATTATGTTAGGAAAGGACGAAGGTGAAGACAAAAAAGCGGGTTTCTTTGGCAACGTAAA